CTGGGAGCAGTGTACCTGCAGGACCGCCTCCTCCTGTACGTCTCCCACAGAGCGTTACGCTCTGCTGAGAACGAGTTATTGGTGATCCCCGGCCAAAAAGACACCCACCTGTCCTTGATCAGGGCCAAGGCCTTTTCCGCCCTGGCCTGGTGGGACGCTCTGCCAAATGACATGCAGTTCCGCAGGGCTTGCAAGGCACAGATGTTCCGCCAGGCCTTTAGTTGAGGACAGCGACCGACGGGCACCATTTTGGCTGGCACTCCCTCCCTCCCTCTTCCTCCTCCCTCTCCAACTATGCTCCCCCCTACCATTGTTCCCTCTAAGCTATGGAGTCTTGTGAGCAAAAATTCTACTTTGTGAGCTACTGGCATTAAAGTTGTGAGCGAGCGATTTGGCTGCTGCATAGATTAGCTTGCTCTGAAGCCATCCCTTCCTGAGCTAAGACAAAAATATGTGAGCTAGAGGCTAAAAAACTGTGAGCTAGCTCACACTAACTCAGCTTAGAGGGAACAGTGCCCCCTACCCCCCCCCCACAAGAGGGGGACACAGTCGAAATTAGATGTATTAACACTATTTGAATACTGCTATTTGTAGAATTGTTTTAACCAGTTTTTTTAATTGTTGGAATTGTTTGGATGATGTTTTATTGCTGTTGCTCATTGATCAGAGCCTTGAGTACTCCGAGACTCAGCGATTTATAAATCTAAATTATAAATTAAAAAATAATAAAGCTGTCCATTCTATCCCACCCAACAGAAAGCATTACACAAAACAGGCAGGTAGCTTTTATTTCCTGGACATCCGTAGAATAAGTGTGGGAAGCTAACGGTTTGATTCTAAATGCAATACTTTCAAACCCTGCAGTACAGCAAAGGGAGTGGTCCATGAATTAAAATAGCTTCCTCTTGAATTGAACGCCAAAGTCCAAAACGTCTGGACAATTAATCCACACATCCAGAGGTGCAGCAATTAAAGTGCTACGTCTGAATATTTTATACCCAAACTCCATTTAAATACACCAGGCATTTATGAAAAGTTGCTACAGTCCACAATAAATATGACCGTCTTTAACACGGTGCTGGGCTCTTGATATTGTTTTTTGCGGGAATAAGCAACTATGGCCATTCCTTTGGACAGCTTCCACTGACATTCAGATTCGAGTGGCTTTTACTTCCATTAGCTCAGCTGTGTATTTCAATGGATATATGAGGTGTCCTTCCTTTGAACGTATTCCCTATTAGCATTTATTGGTAACCAAAGTGCAGCCAATTTTCCAGAACCAGAGAAGCCCTCTGTAGAATTGTTGACTTGTGCATTGTAGCATTGTGAGCTTTGGTTCCAGGAAAAATAATTTTGTTTGAAGAAGACTTTCTCAAAACGCGCAATTTTTGCCTAGCAGGCGTGTCGCTTTGATGCTTGCTGTATCTCGTTTTGGAAAGCATAACAGCCTGCTGCATCTTTCATCAGTCTCTCATCAGAAGCAAGATAGTCTACAGCACTGAAACCTGTCTTTGTAGCTGTGGACTTTTCTATTAGATATATAATGTTCTTTAAGTTTTTGTAGTATAATGAATAAGATACACTGGGGTCTCTATTGTATTCAAGTACATTATTTATATATATTATTTATATATATTATTTATATGGAGCTGTGGTGGCTCAAGTGGTTAAGACGCTGAACTGCAGGCTGTGGAAGGTCAGTAGTTCAGCAGTTCGAGACCCGGGTGCCGCATGACGGAGTGAGCTCCCGTCTGGTAACAGCATTCCGTGCGCCTTGGTGTTTAGTCATGCCGGCCACATGACCACGGAAACGTCTTTGGACAGCGCTGGCTCTTCGGCTTTGAAACGGAGATGAGCACCACAACCCTAGAGTCGGATTCGACTGGCTTTCGAGCAAGGGAACCTTTACCTTTATATTATTTATATCAATATATGAAGATATAGTAGCATAATAGTATTGTGTGTTTTGTTCTCACAGTGTTTTTCTATGTTTGCTCAACCTTGCCGTATTTCCTGTGTGTTTGTTGCTGTTTCTTTACATTTCAGACAGCCATTGTTACTCTTTAAAAATGAGCATTCTCAGACATCAGGTCTCCCAGGCAGGCCAGCTACAGTGATGCTTCTGCTTTCCTCAGAGCCCAGTTCTCCCCTTGCTGGAAGAGAACTGACATGGACATAAACCCATTTCAGCTTGCCATAAAAGTATTGGCAGATCAGAAGCCTTTTGCTTCCCATTCCATCCATTCTTGCTTATACAAATGGTGTGGGTGGAACCATCCTCCAAGTAGCCTTCTTCCCCACTTAAACGGCTGCTCCTCCTCCCACAGAAGAGCCACTGGCATTTGAGGAAGACTCCTAAGACTGGAGAAAGGCTTTAAACTTGATCCAAAAGGAAAGCAGGACAAAAAATATTTTAATAAGTAAACAACTTTGCTCAGTGGAGTGTGATAGAACACAGGTAGGATCCATCCACTCCAGTACTGACAGCCAGGTATGCAGACAACGCCTTCCTGCATATTGCAAAAATATAAACACCAGTGCAACAACTTAACATTGCCAAAAGGATGTTCATTGCCTATACATGAAGCAAGCATATTAACCTTGTAATTCTTGGATACGTTAAAGCGCATGCACACACTCTAATTCTCTACAGCAAACTCCAGAGAATCACACAAAACCCCCACCGTGTCACAGATAAATGGTAAAAAACACTTTTTAAAAAAGCTTCTCTTGAGGCCCGTAGCCAGGATTTTTTTCCGGGGGGGGGCCCACCAGGGGGTGCTAATTTAATTAACTGAGCAAATAGTGCTGTTAATAAAATTAAGGCAGCTGGGAGAACTGGAGAGGCTCTGAAGGCAGGCTGGGCAGAACGGCCTGGCTTGGCCCCCGCACGGTGGAGAGGAGCAGCTCCTGACCCCGCTGGCGGGCAGTCGCCATGTGGCCTCACTGGCTCTTCCTGCTTCGGCTGAGCAGGAAAAGAGGGAAGAGGGGCTTTGAGAAGCCAGCTGCAGAAGCAGGAAGACCCGGCAAGGCTGTCCCTCCCCCTCCCCTCCTGCTTGGCCACAGCAGGAAGCAGCAGGAAGAGCTGGCGAGGTCGCAGCGACAGCCCACAGCAGTAAGGAGCATAGTGTACCAGGGGGCGGGTGGGTCTGGCATCCTCCCGTGGTGGGGGCACTGCAGATTTTGGAGGAGGCACCACCCCCAGGGCCCCGACCTCGTTATGGCCCTGCTCTTCTTTCATAAAGTGACAACAGTGCAATTAGCTACCTGTCAAGCCCATGAAACAAGAACACAATCATGTCAATGCAAGTGATACAGTAACATCCCTTACTGCACGCATTCCCCCCCCCCCTGTTATGCAGACCATGCATACTGGCAACTGAAGTACTACCATACATGCTCTGCTGCAAGTAAGAGGTTTTTTTTTTTGTTTTAAACGGGCCATGCAGGTGAGCTGTAACATATAACCTGGGCCTAACAGACCAGTCTTAAAAGCAGTCAGAAGAAAGTTCCGGTTGCAACAGATCTCATTTCCAACCAAGTATTTTTAGGATTGAAGCCTAAATCTGGCTTTCTGATAAGATTACGTTCTGCCCTGTACTGAAGAATAAACGTAGGAAAACAGGTCGCTGATAGCTGAACAAGGAGTAGAGGAAGTCCCACTCCGTTTTCAGACATAAAGGATACTGTAAAGACAGCAAAAGGGCCCAGTTTGAGAGTAGGAGGGTGCAGGGCACAGGACTGTGAACACTTCCCTCACAATCTCACTGTAGGCACCTGTGGTAAAAATCCTAAAACTTGCTAAGGCCCGAGAGCACCCAACAGAGTGCCCGGGATCTCAGACCCCTACAGGAGGAGCTATTCACTTCCATTCCACATTGGACCATCCTGGCTGACTTAATCCCTTTTGCACCAGACCATCTATTTGTCATGGAAGTTCAGAGCCATTACCAGATGCCTGATGGAGATGGAGCTATAAGGCTCTGATTGGTAAAAGTAGCCTCTGACATCAGAGATGGACATTTGTGTGGGATTGGAGAAATCAGCTTGGCATTATTAGAAAGAAGGCTGGCTTAGGTCCAACAACATTTAGCATAAATATCTGGACAGTTGGGATTTTCCCTTGTCTTCAGTGGAAACTGGGTCCGCAGGAGGTTGGGTTGGGGTTAAGGACTCCTTTGACTTGTTACCGCAAGGAACTCTGCACGTGCTCCGAGGAACCAGCTACAACATAGCTAACGTGTTTTGCTTAGTTCAACTGTATTGCTTTTCATTCGAACATCTCTCTGCTGTTGTAGCTGTGTGCCCTGTATTGTTTTGCCTTTTTCCCCACCCCTTTTTTAATCCAACCATCCTTTCTGTTTTACAATAGACCTTTTTATAAAGACTTTTTTTGGGGGGGCTTTGCTTAATACAATCTATTTATTTGGGATATTTCTCTTAATCTTGTCCCCATATACTAGACTGCACAGGTGCTACTAGGTTGGTTATGTTATTTTGTTATTGCTCTAGTACTGCACTGGAAGACTACCTTCTCAGCAGGTCAGTCTAGAGGTTCTCAGGAAGTCCTGAGTTGTGGTGGCTGGTTACTAGGGTACTTTCCAGGGAACCCTTGGTCTAAGGGAGTTTCCCAGCAAAGAAAGGCACCGTTTCCCCCTTCCTACCATGACATTTTCCCCCTAGTAAGACTCAACTTGGTATTGGAGCTCAGCTAAGAGAGAAATGACACTGGGGGAGAGACTGTGGATCCCACACTCATCCTTTATATCTGAACAGGGCAGACCCACATTTTTAAAAAAGGCCGCTGCTGCTGTATCTAGTGTGGCTGTACCCCCCCCCCCATGTCTGAAACTGATGTTTCAAAGAGAGAGAATGAATCCCATTTTTAAGTAGTGCAGATGAAAAGAGTTTCATTTACCTCAAGAAACTTCAGAAAGTTCATTTTGCATACAAATTTTATTTCTTCTTCTTTAAAAAAAAGGAGTCAGAGTGTTGCAGTAATAATATTTATATTTTTCCTTTTTAACTTTTATTAACACTTAGAAAAACGTTCAAACACTGAGGAAAAAATTAAATAACTTTGGAAGCAGAACTCTTTCTTTTCTGCCTACATACATACAACAATTCTCAGCTGTTGGCACAAAAAATTATCCACATTCATAAAACCCTTACTACTATCATCAAACATAAATTAAGTAAATCATAGGCACTAGTTTATCAAATTCATGTTTCCACGCTTCTTCAATATATCCAAACCTCTAAACACAGAAAGCCCTAGGATGTCCCAGTAATTAACTGGTAACGAGACGTCTCCTCTACTAAACTGGCAGTTTTTTTTTCTTTCAGGAATTTTTATTTGTTGAATGTATATTATGATGTAGCAGCAGAATGTTTGCAGAATGTAATATGCCTTCGAAATGATCACAATGGCTGAGCTTTATAAAAACAGTTTATAAAATCTGGTCATGTAGCTTGGTTAAGAAAGGCAACATCTGAGTTTTCTGAATAAATAAAATCAGTTAAATAGTTTCCTAATAAAACAACAAATTAGCATTTCTTCGTCTCTGAAGAATGTGACATCTAATTAGTTAGAGCCAATTTTTTAACGAGGCAGGATAGATTTGCCTAAAATGACTGGGTACCTCATATTGTTTTCTGCTCAGCACTTTAAATACAATGCATTGGACTAACAGCACATGTCTCAGTTCCCCTACATGCTATTGGTTATATATAATTTTGGAAGACAATCCTTATCAGTAGATCATTATTTAACTGGGGTGTTAAGATCAAAAGAAATTTTTATAATTTGACTTCCCCACGCTATGCTTGTGATGCACATGAATGCTTCTGCAAATCACCTCATATAAAAATGCAGTGTAGGACTCATTTCCACCTACCTTCAAGATTTATGTAGAAAATCAGCATTCCCAGCTGAGTCTTCCTTGGCAGGTGACATGTGCTCAAACCATTCCCAAATTCTGTCTTTAGAAAGTGGCATGAATCCTAGATATTTTTTAAAAATAACTAACAAACATGGGAAGAGGCCCCTTCTTTGATCAAGAAGGGGATTAGACTGGTGGAGCTGCAATCCATGACTAAGAGATCTTGCCCACTTTCCAATTCAAGTAAAACTGCATGGCTTTTAATCCACTAATCTATAGAAACTAGATAAAAATCTGAGTGCTGGGAAATTCCAATATCAAGTACCCTCTTTGTGAAGAGATTTTAAACGTCCATTTTAAGAGGCAGGCACTGACGAAGTTTAAATGCGACCTGCCCAAAAATATCAATGGGATTCTTCAGTCAGTACACAAAAGATAGCACGACTAGCTACTTGTTTTCGTTATGTACTTTGTTGACTTCTGCATACTTCCAATTATACAGAAAGACAGCCCTCTCATCCCCTCAATCAGAGGCATTTCCTCTTTGAAACTGACAAGCACCCAACCAGCTGTCGTCTCATCACATAAGGCAGGAACATCAAATGAGGAGGGAAGGGCCTCTGGGTATTAGCAGCAGTTTCCCTGCTGTATAGGGTATATCCTTCCAACAAGGATAGGCAAAGACAGCAGCAAGTATTGGTAAGTCTGAAAAGCCACTAGGAGGACTGAATGCCTTGTAAACACGTGTGGCAGGTTCACCAGCAATGTAAAACACAGGTGTGTAAGGCAAAGTACATATTTAAAAATACAAACATGGGCAATAACTTGGCAGAAATATGTACAATTAAAAAATAAATTTAGGAAATTAAGATTTTAAAAGGGTACAGAAAACTCCCTCATACCATGTAACGATACCTACATGCATATATCATTTGATAGCAACAGTACGACTTATTTCCTTAGAGCATCTAGGTTACAAGTGCATAGTTGGCTTTTCTTCATGCCAAACTTATAGGCATGTTCAGCTGAATTCTGGGCAACAAGCACCGTGGTGTGATTTCTGAATGGGAATTTTTTCTCATTCAAGGAAACTTGCTGGGGGGGAAAAAAGGACTTCTCAAAACAACATGAGCCGTGTATTAAAAAACGTGGCTGTGATAGCAAAAGCCATCTTTCCTGAGCCAGGAACTGTAAGGTTTAGAAAGATTGTACAACTGATACAAAAGCCCTTTTTGGCAATCCAAATAAAATAGCACAGAACCAGATACGTCAGTGTAAAAGGATGCAACATATCCCACCCAGGTTAGGGAGGGAACTAAAGGCATCCAGACTGCTTTTTAAAAAAAAGGTAAAACAGCACAGCTTCCCTACCGCTCTCATAGGGGGACTCCAGAAGTTACTGCCCTATTGTGGCTACATTTTCTCCATCCGAACTGTCCACAATTGTCTTAAACCATCTCGCTAGCATAGTAACACATGACAATCCCCAATATATTTTTTTGCTTTGATTAATAAGTTAACGTGTACATACTATTTCTTCAAACAGTGCATTTTGCTGCAATCAAACCAAACCAAATCACATGTGAGGTTTTGGAAAGTTTTAATTTACTCTTTTACATGCTGCTTTTTCCCCTGGATGGACATTTCTTTGGCATTTTGTTAGGTTAGGTATATGCCCAGATGTTGGCCATTTTATCCATGTGAGTATTTGTAACAATTTTTAAGAAGCAAGAAGGGGTTGGGGCTCTCCAGAGGTGAAAAAATGATTAATGTAGAAGTGATTTGAGTGATCACAAAGTATCTGATGTTAATGTCATTAAAGTGCTGTTTTATAATCTCTGCCAGTTTGTGCTAATTAAGGACAGAGAGGTCTAGGGATTTACAAACCCCCCAAAGTCTTATCTGATCAGTCTGCATATCGATCTGTCATTTCGCCTGGTGAAGGAGTACTTGCTGAGCTATTTGCAGTTCAGTAGCAGCCATCCTTCCAGCTCTCGTCTTTCATGTTGCTATAGGTTTTGGGTGCTGGCAATGTCCTGAAACACAAAATGTATTCATATGAAAGCATAACCATAAAAATGTGGTTAGGCTTCTTAGCCGTTTAACTGTACGCATTAGTAAGGTAAAGGTTCCCTTGCTTGAAAGCCAGTCGAGTCCGACTCTAGGGTTGCGGTGCTCATCTCCGTTTCAAAGCCGAAGAGCCAGCGCTGTCCGAAGACATTTCTGTGGCCATGTGGCTGGCATGACTAAACACCAAGGCGCCCGGAACGCTGTTACCTTCCCACTGAAGTGGTACCTATTTATCTACTTGCAATTTCTTGCTTTCGAACTGCTAGGTTGGCAGGAGCTGGAACTAGAGACAGGAGCTCACTCTGTCATGCGGCACCCGGGTCTCGAACTGCCGAACTACCGACCTTCCACAGCCTGCAGTTCAGCGTCTTAACCACTTGAGCCACCGCAGCTCCACGCATTAGTACCAACTACTTTTTAATTTAAGAAGTTATGCCTAGTCTGTATACCTGTAAACATTCATTGTTAAATCAAATGTAATATTTAAGATTTAATCAAATTAATATTTAGAACCATCTAGTGGCTGCTGTTGGGAACAAGACAAGACGGCCCAGCAAAATAATTCTTATTGATAGTCCCCCCCCCCAATTAGGTAGGCAGACAAGCAAGCATGCAGCACCCTAATGAAAAAATAAGACTGCCCCTTCTCTTTTCCCTTAGCCAAGCATTAAAATGAATCCTAACAATGAAATACGACACTCTACTTTCCTTCTTTCATGCAAGTCGAGGAAGCTTTCGTTGGATTCCCAGGAGGTCTCCCCATTCAGACACTTTGCGGAGAGAGACCTGCTTAAGCTTCAGCAAGTTTGCTCTATCCTGTGCATCGTAAACACATCCTAAGCACCTCTGCAAAATGGCCATTTCAAAGCAGTGCACGTGGAGACTCTCTCTGTGTGGTCAGCCACTGGCCAGGGTAACCTGCACTGCGGATATGCAAGACATTTAATGCAAATCACCAAAACAAATCACACTAACATGTGTATTGGTGACATGGAGCAGTTTATGATAAGCCACACTATGAAGTGGCAGCCAAAACGGAACACCTCATGAGCTACTACCCCCGTTCTTGGTGATAAGGTATTCTGGACTCTTCCCTCTCACCAAAGTCAGGTACCAATATGAATATCAATATACCAGGGTACCAGCTAAGAAGCTGCTCATCTATACATCTAAAAAAGAAAAGCCTTGCTAAAGTGTTGTGTGACAAAAGCTTTCGTAAACTAGAACCCACTTCATCAGATACATGCAAAGTGAGCTCTGCCACATGAAAGCTTATACCACAAAACATTTGCTAGCCTTTTTCGGTATCACAAGTCTGTTGTCCTGGCTGCAGCAGACCAACACAGCTACACCTCTGAAACTTG